CTCCTTGAGAGTGAGATGGCTTTCCTGAGAAGCTCTGTTCTGACCAACGACAGGAATCCAAGCTCCTTCCATCTTGCGATGCTGAGTTTTTCAAAAATTTCTGGCCTTCAAGGACCCCATGGAAGGGAAAGAGAAAGCACCAAAGATTGTTCTGGGAGTTTCAAGTTATTCGGCATTTGTGGCCACGTTCATTGGTCAGAACCAAATCGTATGGTCCCAAATCAATTTCTACGGATATGTAGTTTGCTTATGGGTCAAGGAAACAAGATTAATGAATAGTTAGCCAGGCTCTGCCACAGTCTGCCCCAGGGATTACCAAAATTCCATTTCCTACTTCTTCCTAAATTGATCTGCCCGAGTCCATGCTTTTGGTTGAGATGTTACACTAGCGCGCTTTTTCCATCTCCTTTTTCACAATTAGCATTCTCCTACTTTACAAAAGGAAGATCCACCTGTCACTTATCATCTGTCCTACTATTAATCATTGCTTAGGGCCATAAAGACTTCCCAGGGCCAAAGTGACAATTTGTATCGTTGATGTCAGAGAGTCTCCTTTAATCCAAGTACCATTACCCACCAGAAGGGCTTCCTCATGCTCTCCAATTTACCAGTGTTCCTGTTGAGAATGAGCCATGATATCAGAACTGTGGTCTACTGACCCAAGTTGGGGTGATCTGAATTCAGATATACTGTAGAGTGGGGTTGTAGGAAGGATGCTATTTTTCATTTCATAACCTTGCATCTAAAATCATCCAAGTTTGAATAGTCTTGAGCTCTTGAGAGAAATGTCTTTAGGAACAGCATAAAGAGTTATTTTTTATGAAATACAGAAGGCAATAGCATCCTATTTCATCCAGACAACAAACTTAGTGTAGTACAATTCCAGACTTCATCAGCTGCCAACTGTCTCCCTCTTTCTCTTTTAAACTATACTTTATAATTCAAAAGTGAATGACCGCCATGCCAATCCATATTAATACAATTTTTGGAATGAAAAGAAATGAAATCAATACCTTTTACTCACAGAAAGTAGGCATAATTAAGATGATTTGACACTGAGAATGACTTTGCCAATCGTATCGCATGGTGGATATTGCCTTCCATCCTCCCTTTCTTTCTTTTTTCTCCCCCAATTAATATTTTAATTATTTTCAAAGCAAATCTTACACAGAGGTTTTTAAGGCCAGTATATTAAAAGGCATAACAAAATAATTGTATCCTTTTTGTCTTAATTTTCCTCATTCCCACTAGTTCTCTTCTTCAGAGATCATTTTTCAGTATTGTATTTATTTCTTCTAGCATTTCGTTTGATAACCAATTTGTGTATATGATTACTTTTCATTTAGTCAACCCTATGCATTATCTTTTCATTTTTTAAAATATAGTAAATAAGGATTGTCTCCCTGAACCTGCTATCCACTTTGCTTCCCTTACTCATTCCTCTCTACGTAATACTACTGCAATATGTGGTTGAATCAATAATAATTTAATTAATATGTCTTCAAATATTAATGAACTTTGATTATTCCACTTTTCATCTTTTGAAGTTATTAATTGCCTTGCTTTCATATGCTCACTTTAATAAATTGCATCTTTTGGTAACCATTTTTTTCATACTTTTCAATCGCCTTTCAGCATAATTTTTCATAGTGCTGATCTAATCAGACCATCCACTTACAATCTAGTTATAGATAATCAATTACAAATTTTTTTCTTTATTGGGGATTTCTACTTTTTTCTACGTACACTGATTTGCCACCAAGCCCTACTGCGAAGTTGCTATCCTAGGATCGCCTTCATGGGTATTCTGGGAATCCGTTCCCCTCTCTCTTTAATTGGATCCCCTATTCCTTGATCTCATGTTTTCATCTTTCTTGCTCTTTCTCTCATTTTGTTAACACAAATCCCCCAGAAGCTTCTTGATAAAGAGCATATAAGAGATAAAATTACTGTCACACTTAATTGTTTCATTGGGATTACATTCAAGATTGGAAATAATTTTCCTGTCGATGTATTGCTTTACTATCTTCCAGTTTCCAGTCTTATTTTTGAGAGTTTCAAAGCTACTCTGATTCCTACTCTTTTGTACGTGACTGTTTTTTTTTTCCCTCTTTCCTACTCGCTGCTAGTTTATAGAATCTTTTCTTTTTCCACCCACAGGTTTTAAAAGTATTTTTGTAGTGTAAGTCTATCTTCATCAACTCTTCCAGAGCAATTGACAGGTCCTTTTAATTTAGGTACTTCAGTTCTGGAATTTGTTTTTGCTTTGAATTACTTAATTGGGAATTTTCTTTCTTCTTCTTTTTTTTAATTTTTTTTTCTTAATTTTTTGGTACTCTTCTTATCGGAATGTAGAGACGCCTGGACTGGTCTTCTAACTTCCTTGTTTATTTTCTATTTATTTTTCTTTTTACTGTACTTTTAAGAAATTATCAAGTTTGAATTCCAAATAAACCATTCTTTAACCATGTTTTTAATTTTAATGAGCTTTTTCTCTGACTATTCCTTTGTTGTATCATCCCATTCTTGCTTCATAAATGTAAAAGTTTCCTTATTTCTCTGAGGATGTTAATGATATTTTTTTCCTCAAGATTTCTTTTTCTTGAATGATCTTGGTTTTCTCAAATTTGCTTTTACAAAGTTTCTTTGGGTGTTACCTTTTATAGTAGAGATTTTTCTCAGATGTCTCCAAGGCTATCTGTTCATATTTAAGAAGAAGTGATTAAGAAGCTGATTAAAAATTCTGAATGTGAGCGTGAGGCTTGTTAACCTTGAGCTTTTCTGCTGGATGATGTACCTACACAATTTGTCAAGGAACCTCGGGGACCAAGACTGTTGAATCTTTCTCCCTAAGGTAGTCGTATTGCCTACAGAAGATTCACTCATTCTCCTGCCTGGAGGGCCTGGCTGCTCCTATCCTTGGAGCTCAGCAGGAAAGGTTACCGAGTGCTAGGAAAGTAGGATTGGAACAAACGACATCCCTTTTTGACATAAGAGAATCATCCAATTCTCCTTATTTACCACTCTCCCCATGTGCCCATTTTTAAGGTAACTGGTTACATTTGCCAAGATAGGACGGATTATTCATATTTGTAACCAGTAAATTTCGTTTCTCTATGACTTAACATAGCAAAGCTCTGCTCTATGACTTGCATATCAAGGGAACCAAGCTAAAGGAGTCTCAATCTCTCTGCTTTCGTATTTGCCAGTGCAGAAGAAAAGGAAGCATGATGCTTTGGCCCTTAAAACACCCACCACAGGTGACGCTCACTACATTGCATTAGCCAAAGTGAGTCACATGGCATCTCCTTATTTCAGAAAAGCATAAAAGTAAAATCTTACAAAATACCTAGGAAGAAAACCCGGAAATTCTGGGTGTACGGCACTAGTGATTACTTATCTTAGTGTGATGGTTTCTCCTCCTGGGTCTTTTCTGCTTTCTGCATTACACATTGGTTTGTTCTCTAGCTTTCCCTTCCTCACTTAGGATTTTTCATTTTAAATGGGCCAGGCTGGTCACCACTTGTCCATTTTGATGTTGCTCTCATCCTCTGTTCTTGCTATTACTTGGGGTTATGTCCTGAAAAATTATTTTAGTCTTAGTGGAGTTTCATAAAGGAGTGAAATTGGATGCATATATTTAATCTGATATATTTATCTGAAAAATGGTGGTTATAAATTCCTATAAACTAAATGAGCCAATTCTGCAATGTTGCGGTTTTAATGAAAATATATTTAATGAATGTTAAAAGATAGATGTTTGATAAAAAATATTTTATTACCATTTATATGAATGTGAACATTTTGATCTTTCCAGTTCTTTTCTCTGTGTGTTGGATTTTAAAAGATGTTTCTAAATGAAAACATAGCAGTTATAACTAATAGTAATTTGTTGAGTCTTGGAAAAGTCAGTTTGTTAAATTTCCCAGAGATCCATTTATTTACTTAGGAATTTATTGCCCACTTACAAGCCTTTTGCATGTCCTAAAGCTTCAAATTCTTTAGTTTTTATCGAAACTAAAGCAGCCACTAATTTAGTTATTCTGTCAGTTATCCGCTGCCCCCAAAATGTTGCCTAACAACCACACACTTCATTTAATTTATTACACATGCATTTTTGCTCGTAAGTCTATAGCTCTGCTGACATAAACTTGGCTCCGTCGATGTAGGCTGGACTTGCTCTTGTGTCTTTGGTCAGCTGTGGAAAGGCCTGCCAGCTGTGCTTCTGGAGGGGGCAGCTGCCAGCTGGAGTACCTCAGCTCTACTCCATGTGGTCTCTTATTTACTAATCAGATTCCCTGGGTATTTTTAGTCAGTTTGGGCTGTCTAATCTAGTACCGATAGACATGCATGACTAGCCCAAATTGAGATGTGCTGTAAGGGTAAAATATATTGAATTTTGAAGACTTATTACCCCAAAAAAAGAATGTAAATATAAAATAGCTTATTAATATTTTGTGATGTTTTGGGTATTTCCAGTTTAACAAAATACTTTATAAACAATAATTTCACCTGCTTCTTTTTACTTCTTTAATGTGGCAACTAGGGCATCTAAAATTAACTGTGTGGCTCGTATTTTATTGCTATTTGGCAGTGCAGATGTAGCCCCCAAATCAGGAGGCCAGGGAAGAACTTGGAGTCTTAGAGGGTTGTCTTTTCGGTTATAATTTTCTCCTGAGAACCTCCCTTGTCCCCAGAGAAGTGAAAGAGCACGTGGCTTCTTTTGCAGGTGAGATTCTCCTGCACATCTTCTAGAATTCGGCAGGATCAAGCTATCAGATCATATTATTACCCAAGAGATTGTCCAAAGATGATAAAGGAATGAGAGGAAGTCATCTCTTCACACCACAGCTGCCTATTACATGCATTTATGAGAGAGATGCTAATGGCCATGACCAGAGAAGAGGGTCCTGGAAAAAACTGAGGTATCTTGAGGAGAAGGTGTGTTCTCTGGAGGTGAGATGACTCAACTGCCTTTTCTTCCTTTCTGATTGTTCCAGAACGCTGCGATGACTGGGGACTAGATACCATGAGGCAGATCCAAGTGTTTGAAGATGAGCCGGCTCGCATCAAGTGCCCACTCTTTGAACACTTCTTGAAGTACAACTACAGCACAGCCCACTCGGCGGGCCTTACTCTGATCTGGTATTGGACGCGGCAGGACCGGGACCTTGAGGAGCCAATTAACTTCCGCCTCCCTGAGAATCGCATTAGTAAGGAGAAGGATGTGCTCTGGTTCCGGCCCACCCTCCTCAACGACACTGGCAACTACACCTGCATGCTAAGGTAGCCTGACTCTTGCTGGTGACTTTGTCTTTGCCTTTTCATTCCTGAGCCTTTATTCAGATAATGCATGTGCTGTGGAGCTGGGGAGGGCAGGAAGGAAGCATCTAGGAAGAGTTATGCACCTCGTTGGTTTAGCTGAGATTGGCTGAAAGATACGTGCAGAGAAAATGGTTGTACCTCTGAGAACATTCTCCGTAGGTGGTTCCTTTCCAAACCTGATGTATATAAGGGTTGTTTAGAGGTGGAGCCTCATTCATTTGTACCCTTTCTCTGACACTGGAACCTGCCTACGTTTCAGCCTCACCCAGACAGTGAGCAGGACAGGTGGCAGAACCCATTCATTTCTGTTATTCTTGGCAGCTTTTAAAGTGCCAGGCACAGAATAAAAGCTCAGGATGCCACCGAGAGGAAAGAATACTTGAGAGGCATCAAATGTACTTAGAATGATGCTTTTCAAACTTTTCCATCAATATTCCTCTAACGAGCAAATGAATACCAGATCTCTGGGAATCTAAGAATATACTCCAAAGCCCCCATCATTACTGCAAAAGTCCTTTCAAATCCATGTTTTTTCCCTGAAAGTTCATGTAGATATTTCATTTCACTTCACAATGTATCTGCATTTCTTTTGCAAAATATTAATGTTGCTTTTGCTCTGAGAAAAATCTTTTAAAAACTGAGGCTCCTCTGAAGAGTAGCCATTTTAAAGTTTAATTCTTTGACCACTTTTTTCCCAAGGTCCCTTTTTAGCTTCCAAACTTAACTTGTTTTTTAAACTCTCATCTGGTTTATGGATTTTTTTTCCTGCTATTTAATAAGTTCAATGGCTTTACTAGGACTGCCTTCACTAAATACCACCTATTGGGTGGCTTAAACAGTGGAAATGTGTTTAATATGTTTTGTCACAGTCCTGGAGGCTAGAATTCAAAGAGCAAGGTGTCAGCAGGGTTGGTTTCATTTATCTCTCCTTGGTTTGTAGGTGGACACCTTCTCTCCATGTCTTCACCTCATCTCCTCTCTTCTTCAGTGTCCTAATCTCCTCCTCCTTGTGAGAACATCAGTTTTATTGGATTAGGGAGCTGGAAAAGTCAGTCTAACCATTGATCATGACTTTGTTAAGCTGAAATGTACCTTCTGTAACTTCTACCTTTAGAATACTTCCTCAAAAGTAGACCTTTTGTTATTTGTAGGTAAAGATTGTGCCTCCCACTCTCCTTTTCCATCTTATTACCACTGTCATGAGACATTTTTAATCATCCTCCCCTCCCATCTTGGGGAGAGGAATGCATTCCCCAAACCTCCCATTGTATTTAATCTTAATTCATGAGTTATTAATTATGTAATATGTCTTAAATAGAAATCACACAAAAAAGTGGACAGTGAATGACCCAATCACACATCACCCTAAAAAATCACTTATCTTTTATTATCTATGTTCCCTTTATTGTTTCCTATATATAGACACAGTTTTACATACATTCCATTTATCTAACAAATATTTATTCAGTGCCTACTGAAAACTTGAACACTGTGCTAGATATAAGAAATAAAAAGAAAACAGACATGGTCATACCTTTGTTCGAATTATGATACAGTCAATTAAGGAATTGTCCAAGGTGCTGAGAGAATGAGAGACCTGATTTAGATGTGGGGGGTGCATAGAGAATGGCATAGACCTCTGTGTGAAGGGTGGGGTGGGCGATGGGAGAAGAACCTTCCAGGCAGATAAAACGTCATTGTCTACAAACATTACAAATATAAATACAGTTCCCTAGCCATCTTAACATGTTTTATGTTTTTGTTAGGTTTTTCTTTCCCCCTTCATGTTTGAGTTTTTTAATAGATGTGTACAATAACTTTGAGTGATTGTACCATGATTTCCTTTATGATCGTCCTTTACATAGGTTTTTCTACTGATTCCAACATTTTCCTTGCTAGTAGAGCACTGGATGGACATTTCTGATCATGTGCTCTCTCTATTTTCACTTTTCCTTTCTTCTGTTTTGTGAAAAAAATCTCCAGAAATAGGATTACTAGGGCAAAAGCTAAGGCTTTTTTAAAAGGCTTTGGAGACATACTTGTTTTCTAAAAGTTATTTATACCATTATCAAACATGAGTTAATATGCTGTTCTCACCTTTGCCTTTCCAGCACTGAGTATCATTGAGAATATTTTAAGGGTAAAATTAAATACATGTATTTGTATATAAATATATATATATGTAATTTCACCCTTAAAACATTATACACACACACACACACACTCACATACATATCACATATATATGTTTAGGAACATGTCTAAAAACGTACACATTTTAGTATATCGATCATAGTTAATTATGTCTGTTTTTATTCTGTGATGTTAATTGGTATAGGAAATATCTCCATAACACATTTGTTACACAAACTTAAGATATCAAGTCTCAATACATAGCAGTACTTCACTTCGCTCATTTTAATGTGTTTAACTGTATGAAAAATGCAAATGAGACTTCCCATTCATTGCATGTTTCTCTTTCCAGGAACACTACATATTGCAGCAAAGTTGCATTTCCTCTGGAAGTTGTTCAGAAAGATAGCTGCTTCAATTCTCCCATGAAAATCCCAGTGCAAAGACTGTATTTAGAATATGGTGTTCAGAAGATCACTTGTCCAAATGTAGATGGATTTTTTCCCTCCAGTGTCAAACCAACTGTCACTTGGTATATGGTAAGCAAATTAGAAGAAATTTACCCTCTCTAAAAAAGCAACGATTATTTGTTGACTCAGTGTAGAAATAGATTTTTCTCATCACACTTTTAATTTATTTCATAATCACTGTATACAGATATATTGCATCTTTCTCACTTTGTACCATTTTAAAGGAAGTGGTGGAGACACTTTTCCTCAGCTCACCATGTCTTAAAGTACATTCACTGGACTACCAGAACTACCTTATTTCTGTTAACTTCTTATGAAATACAGTTTGAGAAATGCTGCCCACTTCTACTCACTGCTGAGTGAGGTCAGAAGCTGCTAATTAATCTGGCAAATTTCAACTCTTTGGTTAGTCAGTAGTATATTATATTACTTGTATGTATTTTCATATTTACCCTCATTTGTGGGCACGGTTCATCTGTGGTCTCTTTCACATCCAAGAAATTTGGAAAGCGAAATCAAAATGAAAGTGTTGGAAGGTTGGTACTTGTGGCAGCAGCCTTATTCTTAATGTCTTCAAATATCTGCCTGAGCCAAAGCCAAAAACTCCTGGACAACATTTAAAACAAAACTCAGTGACAAGCTATCCACAAGAATCACTTTCAATAAAGCAAATGAGGTAAATCACCAACACGACCTGTAAAGAATCAGCATATATAGGGAAGGAATCAGATGGAAATCATGTGGCATCTGGCAGCCTTGAGAACAGAACCTCAAAAAGCCAGCAGGTAATCATCTGAAAGTATGGTGAATCAATTGGGAGTGGAATCAAAACAAACAGGATCAGGACAATATATGAGAAGGAAGGAGAATTGGCTAAAAATGGAGGAGCCAGAGTCAGGAAATCTCAAGACCACAGTTTTGAAGAAGGATCTCTGTGGAGTTAGAAAATCCTGCCAATTTCTAAAGCTCAGAAAAAACTAGTTTCACATATTAATGAGCAACCAAAAAAATAAAAAAAAATCAAGGTAAATTCCTATTCAAAATTACAAGAAAAAAGGAGAATAAGAAGCAGAACATTTCTGTAGAAAAAAATAAATAAAAGCATGCCAGATGGACACATTGTAACCTACAATTTCAAAAATGGAAACAAAGACATTACCAAGTAATGCAAGATGAGGATGAATAACAAAAAAATAAGAATTAGTAAAGTCCAGAAATTATACAACTTGGTAAAAAATTAAAAGATAATAAATTGTTCTTCAGAAGTAAAGTTAAACTAAGAGCAACATAACAGCAAATGAACCCAATAAATAATTCTTTAAGATTAAAAGAAGGTGGAAGGAAGAAAAAAATTAATCAAAAATAAACCAAAACCACAGTGAGGTATCACATCACACCAGTCAGAATGGCCATCATTCAAAAGTCCACACATGGTAAATGCTGGAGAGGGTGTGGAGAAAAGGGAACCTTCCTACACTGTTGGTGGGAATGTAAATTGATGCAGCCACTGTGGAAAACAGTATGGAAATTCTTCAAAAAACTGAAAATAGACTTACCATATGATCCAGCAATCCCACTCCTGACCACATATCCACAGGAAACTCTAATTTGAAAAGATACATGCACTCCAATGTTCATAGCAGCACTATTTACAATAATAGCCAAGACATGGAAGCAGCATAAATGTCCATTAAAAGATGACTGGATAAAGAAGTTGTGAGATATATAGATATATATATTAGACACACACACAATGCACTACTTCTCAGCTGTAAAAAAAGAATAAAATAATGTCATTTGCAGCAACATGGATGGGCCTGGAGATTGTCATGCTAAGTGAAGTAAGCCAAAAAGAGAAAGAAAAATACCATATGGTATCACTTATATGTGGAATCTAGAAAAAAAAAAAAGGACACAAATGAACTTACAAAACAGAGACAGACTCATAGATATAGAAAACAAACTTATGGTTACTGGAGGGAAAGGAGGTGGAGAGTGACAGATTGGGAGTTTGGGATTTGTAGTTACTACTATATATAAAATAGATAAACAACAGGATCATACTGTATAGCACAGGAAACTATATTCAGTACAATACACACACACACACACACACACATTTATACACTATGCTGTACACCAGAAATTAATAAAACATTGTAAATTGACTATAATTTTAAAAAAACTCAAAAAAGAAAAATGACGAATAAAAATAAAAAGGTTAGAATGGATCTACCAATATCAGATAAAGTAGACTCTCAGGATGATTAATATTATCAGAGATAGAAAGGACTTTTCAGAATAACAATAGGGTCAATTCATTAAGAAGGCATAAAATGATTAAAAGTATATATACTTATTAATAGTGTTTCAAAATACATGAAGGAAAAGTTGACAAAATTAAAGGAAGAGATAGACAGTTCCATAATTCTAGTTGAAAGTTTTAGTATCTATCTATTTAAGTCATTAATGGAGTGACTTAGTAGCCAACTTTAAGAGTTTTCTGTTGGCCAAAGACGGAACAGTTTGAGCTTTACTAAGGACATTAATTACAGTAGGTCAAATCTCATGAATTGAGTTTAAATCCATAAGTTCATGATATTTCATAATATTTAATTGGCCATATCTGGATGATGATAGAAAATAAATATGTTATCTTGAAAACTGGCTAATAAAGGGGGGGATCAAGTTTTTATTCTACCTTTTCTATAAGAAATGTACATTGACTAATCAAATTGTTCAAGGAAGTGTGTTTTTATAAAAGTATATAATCACTTTGCAAACCCAATGCATTACTAAATGTAGGCATTATTCATCAATGACTGCTAACTTCATAAGAAGGGAAACAAACAGACATATTCCTTCTGATCAAAAAACACATATTGCTTATAAGTTTGCCAAATGGAGGACATCTGAGTCTGATAAAACCTTTGGATCCTGCAGTCATTTTGCAGGAAATATGGAAAATAGAGGAATGTATAGATCTGCACCATGAGTTTGCAGTCAGCAAGTGAGAAACTCTATTGGCCAAATGTCTTGAGTTATTCAACAGATAGATTGTAAGAAAAAGAAAGATATAGAGTGGGAATATATAGATAAAAAGGAACATAAAACACACTGAAAACACTATAGTGGGTGAAACTGTAGTATCTAAAGATGCACATATGAGCACAATTGTAAATGAAAACAAGAAAGTGATTTTACTATGAAAGTGTAGATAGTTTCCACTTTGGTGTGTAGTAAAGAAGGTGTGATTGACATGGGGCATGTGGAAGGCTTTCAAGGGTGACTGGGAATGTTTTATTCCTAGACCTGAGTGGTGGTTACAAAGCTATTTGCTTTATACTAATTTATTAGCTCATAAATATGTTTTCAGTGTTTTTCATGTGTGCTTTATTCTACAATGAAATGATTAAGAAGAAAGAACATAGGAAAAGAAAGGGAGCTGGGGGAGACTGATTTAAGATACGTAACAGCCAATTTCAGTGTATGGACCTTAATTGGATCACGCTTTATTCAAACAAACTATAAAACCAATTATGAGAAAGGCATGGAAATAGGAGCAAGACAATATTGAGGACATTGATGAATTTTAAATTATGAAAATGGCAATGTAGTTAGCTTGCAGAAGGGGTCTTGACATTTACAGAACACAGAAATAGTTATAAATAAAATTGTATAATGTCTGTAATTTACTTTGAAATAATAGTGGGATGCAGTGAGTGGGTGTAGATGAAATAAGACAGCCTGAATTGGTACTTTTGAGGCTAGGTATGGATACAGGGCTCACCGTATATTCTATGATTGTAATTTTCCATAGTAAAATGCATAAAAGGGATTAAAATTATTATTTTAACAATTTTACACCAATAAGTGTAATATATCTTCCAGGTTAAAAAAAGTGTCCATCTATATATCTGCAATGAAGTCTCTCATTTCTAATTAAATCCCATTTACATTTTGAATATTCTGTGGTCATTTTATTTTTATATAAATTCTATCATTTTCTCTTCTTTTTTTCTCATGCATGCCCTCTGCCTGGAACATCCTCTTTTCCTCCTTTAGAACAGATCAAATTCTACAGCTTCATAAAATGGTCCCTGTTCTCTCCAGCAGAAAGTATATTTTCCCCCATATACTCCCATAGCTATTTATCTATGCCTGTTTCAATGCCACTTTTCACTTCATTTGTTTATGTGTATATTCAATACATACTTGTTTAAGATCAACTGTATTCAATGAAATATGTCAGAGGTTTGGGGGAAGACAGTAATGAATTAGATCTATGCCTAAACCCAAAGAATCTCACAGTTTAATTCAAAAAGTTTATGAATAAGAATTCCTATTCTTATCAAATAGTAGGATTAGAAATTCTACAAGAGTGTCAAAGAGAAGGTACTATTGGTTTTAAGAAAAGAAACAGATTTATATGCATGCACTTCATGAGGTTGACTATTTTGTGTGGGTAAAGTTATCCCATATGTATCTCTGTGACTCCCAGATTTCTGGTTTCCTGATTGGTCTAATGTCAGTCGTATTAACCAAGGTATGAAATAGCAGAGGAGGAGCAGGTTTGGGGAGCAAGTTAGGAATTTTGATCATGTGTCATATTGAGTTAGATTTGTCTGTGAGCCATCTAGGTGGCAGTGACCAATAGTTAGTGGCTACTTGTGTATGGGTCTGGAGCTTAGAGCTTAGAAGAAAAATCAACTAGAGACAGAGAATTAAATGCATCCATGTGAGAGGTGAAGCCCTTAAAAAGCCAAAATAAAGTGAGAAGAGAAAGAGGCTAAGATTGAAATGTGGAGAGAATGTTTGTGAGGTGAATGAAAGCAGAAAGCCTAGAAAGAAGAATGAGAAGAAAAGGTCACGGTGGTGAAACAATCCCCGGGCAGGTACCCAACGACGTGCAGGCGACCAAAAGGGACAAGCAGTGAACTGCCATCCCTTCTATTCTCTGACTATGAAAAAAGCTGCTAGTGACATGTGGTATGCTGCTTTTTGTTTCTCTGCATTTGCCTAATGGACACCTTTACTCCTGGGAGTGCTGCCGTCTTGGGAACAAAATC